AAATTAATACATGATTCTTTTATCACTTAATATTCATATTTGAATTGTATTGGTACATATTAGTCCATTAAGAATCCAATAGCACAAAAGTAGAATTAATAAAAAGTGTCTTATTAAATACTTCATAAAACAAGCAAAATTGATCTAAATCATCTCAAAAAAAATATGATGTCCAAAAAGACATCTTGATTGATGATCATAGAATAATAAATTGCAACTTACGTGATTCAGCTAAATAACATAATTTTTGGTATGTATTTAGTGTTATTTAGAAGAATCCAAGTTGACATAAATGTATAGTCCAAATGCACTATTAATTCAAAGTTAAAACCTTTCAAAACATATGATACAAAATCATAAGTTCATAGTTAACTATGTGAGCTTTCATACTTGTATTTTACTTCATGTATTTTTTTTATTTTACTTCATCAAGACAATTTTCACATTAAAGTATAAAATAATAAAACTTCATGTTGTAATCAATTAATTTAGCTAGTTTAGCATCATGGGTCACAAATACATTTGGTAAGTTATCATATGAAATTCTACTAATTATTTTGGATTATAATTGAGCATCCAATGTTCAATCTCTTATCATATATATTTTGAAATAGGCATAATTAGATCTTTTAATTAATCTTAAACTTGTTTGTCATCATTAAAATATCAAATAGTACTCTAACATTGTTTACATTCTCCAACTTGATTCCAAACATTAATGTACTTTGATTTTTCGTCTTTTCAATTTGGATCTAATTTGTACATCTTTCTTGCATCCCTTAAAACAAGATATGTTGAGTAATTTTTCACATATCTCTATTTATTTAAAGGGTTTCATTTTTTAGATTACCTTCTAATTTAGTAAACCCAACATCATCATTAATTTAAATTTCTTTGAATTTAGTTCCTAATAACTCATCTTCATACTCTATGCAAACCTTTTTGTCAAGAAATTTAACATTTATTATTTCCTCTAATTCGTCTATTGTAACCTCTAAATTTTTAGAGTTTTAATAATATCTCAGAAAAAATTATTGGTCACTTGGTAAACATTTCTTTTTTCTTCCTTACAATTTATGAAGATAAATCATTTGGCCCAAATGATAGAACGTAATTAATATTTGATTTCTTTCCTTTTAATAACTTTGTAAGGGAAGTGTTCTCTAAAATTAGTCTCAATAGGGAACTATTCTCGGCCTACCCCCTACATGGAGACCCCCACACAAGCCTTCAATTTATATGTATATATGACATGGATAAACACATCAAAGATGCTGGATTACTGGACAAGGACGTGTGGGGAATTGATGCTATGGTTGGTCAAATAATTCTTGTCATTTCACGTTGTGAAAGCAACAAGCATAGATGACAATGAGTTGTGGAGGTTGCAGTTTCCAAGTTGAGCATTAGCGAATGATCGCTAGACTAGTTTCATCAATTTCGGTCTTCCACATAATATCAGGAAATAAGTTGCATTTTTTAGAATAATAATAACATAGACAGTTTTAAAACCTAAATGATAATAAAATAAAATAATATATAATTAGAAATGGGCCCTAACAAGACCTACCAAGCCAAGTCAAAAAAATTATACTCTTATGAGAGCCTGAACCAACCCCATCCCAAGGAAAAGCAAATGATGTAAACAAATAAACAGTCTGTAAATGAGGTAGACAAAAAAAAAATAAAGCATGGTGGACAACGAGTGTGGACTGAATGGTGGGGGAGATGATAGTGAAAAGCAGAGTCACATTGTGACATGTGAACAGAATAGAGGTGGTGGAGATAGAAGAAGCAGCAACAAGACTATGGCAGTCTCTACTTTGGGGCCCCTCTGTCAAGTTCATGTTGACATGACCAATATATCTCCTACTCTTCTTGTATTCATTACTTTGTGGCTTCCATCACTACTTAAAATGTTCTGGACAACTTTAAGAGTATCTATAAGTTAATCTGGAAGTCATGTAAAATTTACACATCTCATAGGATTACTAAGAAAAAATATAAAGTTTACAACCTAGAGATATATTAGGATATCAATAAAAGCAATTCTCAAGTGCTTCTCAAAAGTTAGGCTCCTTGTAGGGTTGGAAACAAGATGACCCATCTTTCTAATACACTAGGTTTTTAATACTAGCCTCTGATGTTATTTTAGACCCTCAAAAGTTGATAATTACTACACTATCCAAATTGCACCATGAAAGCAAGCAGCTAACAAGATTCAAAAGATTAAATCCACTACAAAAGAATTGTCTTACTTCCTAGTTCTATGGAAAATAATTATTAATGTTTTCTCATAGTTACCTAATTGAAAACTATATAATAATTCTGTTGAGATAATATTGAACAAATAAAATATTAAATCAACTTATTTTATAATTATTAAAATCATTTCATGGTGCTCATATGGTATGATAAATATTTTTGAATGATAAATGAGATTTTCATCATCAATGTGATTCCAATAGAATATGGCTTTCTCGCAAGAAAAATCATGCCTTTAGGTATATCCAGATACCAGCAATCTCAATGAAACTCAAAGGCCAGCTTGAATTGGGACTGATCTAAATGAGATTTATGCTGTCTCCACAATTCTATGTATCCTTGATGATTTCAGAGGCATAGATTAGTTTAAGATCTTCAAGCTGTTTGCAAGACCCAAGCGTTAGGATATCCAATCCATTGGGCTGGGCCATGCAAGACTTCAAGCTTTTTCTACCCATTCACCACCTTACCTATATTGTCCATGTAAACAAAATTGTCCACTAGCATGGTTTAAGCACAAATTTTACTTTTGAAACATAGTCCAATATCAGTCTAATTGTAAAGTCAACAGAAGATGAAATGGCCTAATTAACTCTTTCTCATAGAAATGGCCCATGTGGGGTACATTTCTTGAGATCAATCCCAAGTGCTTATAAATAGAGGGGCCACTCTCCTCATTTGTTCATTCGATAGTATAAAGAGCTTGGGAGGGGCTCTAAAGATAAATTTCTTGTTGGGCTTAGGTGAATACTTGCATGCCCAAGATTAGAGTTTTTTTCTTTGAGTTCTTAATGAGAGTTCTCTCATATTCTTATTTTCATCTAGTGGAGCTTTCTTTATCACCTGTGGACATAGGAAGCCAACCTCGAAACATGTAAATCTTTGTCAATGCCTTTACTATGAGTTGATCTCTTTCTTCATTTCTACTTCATGTCATATTGATTATGTGAGTAATATTCCACAAGTCCATATTAGGTTTTTGCTCTAATAACATAGTTATTTAAAATGAAGAAACTTATTCTATGAACTCAAGATACATACAACACAAGGTTGTTGATCACAACAACACAATCTCAGGATAATTATGATTTATTTCAGGATAATTAATTAGTTATTAAATGATCAAATCACGATAAGTTAGAATCATGTAATCTACCCACAGATTTTGTGAAAATCCTATATACATGAAATTACTATTGTGTAAAATAGTCATCATTCTATGCACATACTTTAATTATTTAATTTTTATATTAATTATTGTTGGTGCCATAGACATATAAGGAACTATTAGAAAACTCTATGGGAAGTCTTATATCGTAATGCACTGAATTGATATTGTTTTTTATAAGATTAGTGTATATTTTAGGAGTTCAAATACAAATGTGGGATGTGACACTTTCCAAACCACTAGGTGATCATTGGAGTAGCTCAATAATGTATCTTTATCTAGAGAGGTCTCTACTCAAGTTGAAAAAAATGAAAGAAAGAGGAAAAATGAGATAGCATTCCATCTTGACCGCTAAATTGTTGGAAGCTTGAGCACTTGAAAGCTTCATCCACTTGTTGTGTTCAAGACAAGAAGAGTCAAACTTGTTAAACATCATTATGGAGAAACAAGCTTTTGAGAAAACAAGAGATGAATACCTAAGAATAGTAACACATTTTCTAGCTTGTATTTAGAGTGTATTTTCACTTGAGGGTCTATCTAAAGCTTTAGTCTAGAAGGTTTTAAAAATGGCTAACCTCTGTTGGCCACCTAGAATTGTAAATTTAGATGATAAAAGTGTGCATCCATTATAAAAAAAATTCTCTTAGAATCATGAATCTAGAAGAACAAGTTGACTCTCTTATTTATCCTTCTATTCTAGTGAATCTAAAGATAATTGTTAGGTGGAATCATAAGTTATAACTCTTAAAACTAGTGTGTATTAGTATTGAAGTAATTAAATGAGTATGTATTTCATTAATGAACAAGTGGAACTCAATGAATTAGCACCAAACAGAAGTACTTAAGAAATTGAGTAAGTGGTTGAATTGCACATTATAAATTAGTGTGTGAGATACATTGTTTGTGGTTCAAAGTGTTGGAGCTTAATTGAGTAAGTGTGAGATACATTGTTTGAGATATATTCGGATGGAGTAATCATAAAAATATGCATTATTTATTAACATTTAGAAATACAAAGGTGTAGGAGAGAGAAAACCATAGGGCCCATACTTCAATTATCTCCAATTAGTCCTGCAGAGGTGATAGACAATTTTAACATTGTTATGATTTAAAAAAATTATATAGGGAGAAAATTTTCAACTCGACCTATTTCCTTGGACTCCAAAATTAGACGCAGAAAGAAACCCTTGGCCCGGCCCAATTAGTCTACACTAAATGGTCGGGCCCAGAACCAGACAGTTTCAAGCTCCAGGCCGAAACATAATGAAACAGGCCAGGCCAAGACCGATCGGGCCTGACCCGAAATGCCCATAAATGACAGGTAGAAATAACACAAATGATCTTGCGAAAACCAAATGCAAGAAATAGGCTGAAATAGCCACGGAAAAAGGAAGGACGAAGATAGATTGACCCGGGCCCATCTTGGGGTCAACAAAAATCGAGAGAGAGAGAGAGAGGACACCCTTGGCACCCGTGTGCATGATCTTAAGACAGCCAGCCAAACTCATGAAGCGGGCCGATATAAGCCCGAAACCCAAAGCCCGTCTGGGCTGGGGGGCTGTGGTTATCAGAGGAAGTCAAGGGCTAGAGCGAGGAGGTCATTCCAGGAGTCGGTGACCCCTGGGAGGCACCAGTGCATGCAGTCGTCGTGCCTCTTCCCCCCGGCAGCCGCTGGATGGCCATCCGCCCTGAACTCGCTCATGTGGGTCACGTCCAGGACTCGGAATCCCGAACCCTCAAGGGCCCTGAACAGGTGCTCGTTCACCACCCTCGTCTCCACATTCGTTCCATTCTTCTCCACAGAGAAGAACTCCTCCACCTGAAGAACGAAGATAATAATAATAATAATTCTCATTATAATGGTTACTATTAGTAGCAGATTCTAGTAGATGCGTAGGTAGGATTATGGCAGAAAATTCAAATTGGGTAGAAAGGAATGTATTTGATGCATGCATGAAGCAACCTGCTGGGGAGATAATGGCTCTGTGCGCCCACATGATCCGCCTTCGTTCCAGTCACCTCCTTCAAAGTGCCTGGGAGATTGGGTGCGGAAGAATTTGATTGCATGCCTGCCTACCCTTTCCACATATGCTATCTGTAGAGAAATTTGGGTTGACATAAATGGATGATGATGATGATGATGATGATGATGATGATGATGATAATGTATGGGCTACTTTGGGAGTGTGGTTGACTTTTGCCTAGAGAAAGAATTCCGTGAAATTTAACAATCAAAACAAGCCATATGCTTTAAAGTCATCTCTGCTGAGAAAAACTGGACCGTTAGATGATCAAACAGTCAACTGCTTGATGAAGATGATTGCATGGATTGCGTTGGACAAGTGGTTGACTTTTGCCTAAAGAAAGAATTCAGTGAAATTTAACAATCAAGGCAAGCCATATGCTTTAAAGTCATGTCTGTTGAGAAAACCTGGGCCGTTTGATGATCAAATAGTCAACTGCTTGATGATGATGATTGCGTGGATTGCGTTGGACAATTGGTGGACTGTTCACGATGCAAGAAGTAAAGAAAAAAAACTTGCTCCTGGGCAGTTGGTGTGAAACGGTCCGATGAAATAAGAAAAGAATCTATGCAGGAATACCATATGCTTTAAAGCAACGTCCAAGCCATCTTCAGGGGATAGAACAGGCAATATAGGCTTGCCCCCTTCGAAGAAAAGCATTGGTGACTCAATGGGATCGAATTTCGATGGGGCCCACCACCTGAAAACAAGGAAGATCACAGTATAAATTTTAGATTGAAAAAAACTAAGAAAAATACTCCAGAAATAGATCTGAGAGAAGGAAATTCCGAGAAAATGATGGGAAATGTTCTCAGAAATATTACATAGGAGTCCAAAATGTATCCATGAATAATGAACGACTCTGTAGTAAGGATGGCATACTTTATATGACAAAAGATTGCTGGGCCTGAGATAGCTCCAGAAGCTTCAATAATACAGAATTTGGTTACCGGGTTGAAAGGCCCAGTGAATCCCATCCGGATCAGAATTGAATATACCCATGTGCTTCAAGAAGCTTAGCGAATGTATGTTCCTGAGACTCTTGCCATTTCTATCCACTATGTAAGCATCTAAAAATATAGGCCAATGAGAACATTGTCAGAAACTATCACATCTCCATGCAACCAACCTCACGGTTTCTAAAATGTAGATCATCATTTTATCTTGTTATCAAAATGATTTAGGAGAAAGGCCGTGAATCCCACGTAGATCATCATTTCTGCATGGGATTCCGATGATCATAATCATCTCAAAAGGACTGAAAAAGTATCCCAGACTCACAAGCAACTCACGACCTAAGTGATATAGGACAGCATAATAGTGCCTCTCTCAAAACAACCACATGGGGAGGCCCTAATCAAAGAGATATATATGATTCAAGAGTGAAAACTGGAAGATGATTCCATTTATTCATCAAACCCTTTCATCAATACTCCTTTTCCATGATCTAGAGAACAGAGCCAGCTATCATTCTACACATAGATCTCAAAACGATGTGTCATTATCATTTTTGGCATTTAGTCAGCGAGAGAATACAGTGATTGGGGTTCAAAGCATACCTATGTCAGGAATCTCTCCTTTTCTTGATCTGTATGCAATAACATGCAGGGAATTAAGATAAAAGACCCCACATTACCAGAAAACCAAGAACTAGGAAATAACTATACATAATGATATCAACCAGAAGACCTTGGAAGCTAAGACAAATCGATCGAATTTGTGGAACAGAAACGAAGATGACAAGTAAAACGAAATGATGTTAAACTGGCCAGTCCATTTGTCTGGCAAAGTAGATGGATTCACGATTAGTTTCCCCGCTCATTCCTCGACCTCGGAACATCTAAACAGCCTTTGATCATATTTCTCATGGAATTACCCATCAAACCAGACATTTCTAAATGATAGACAAGAAAAACGCAGATACACGTTTCTATGATTTGATAAAAGCGAGTTTGCAATTACCAGTGGCCAGTGTTGAAGATGAGAATATCATGAAAGTTCGGCGCCTCTGCCCACGATTGGTCAGGAACGTCAACATCGACCCTGTAACCTTGTTTGTACCCCAATGATTCCAGAGCCCCTCCATTAGCACTGGCTGACCACCTTCACAGATAGAGAAGGAAATGAGGAACACGGAAACCTAACCAGTTCAAGAGACCACAAAAGAATCCCATGGTGTGAAGGGTTGAAGAACTGTGTTAACGGACAGTATTTACCTAGTATAACGAACCAAGAGATTAGTCCTGTGATATGCGACAGTCAGATTGTAGTCCACAAAGTTAAACCCTCGGTCTGCCCCGGCGGGACGCAATTTCTTTACCTCACCAGATGCTGATCGCCTCAACATGCACACCAAGGACACGAACATGTTCCTATTCAAGGAGTCTCCAACGAATCCTGCACTGCTCACGGATGATAAGCTAAATGAAATCTGAGAAAAAAAATCGAGAAAATGGTGAATAGATAATGTCGCTGGAAGGAGAAAAAACTGGGAGATCGTACCAATCTTCGAGTTCCGGTACCGGTTGAGAAAGCGAGAGGGCTCCAGAGGGGGCAGGTTGCAGCCGAAAGGTTGCCACCGCCACGATGTGATTTCCCGCGCGTTAGATTTCCCCGCCGAGATGCAGTTCCATCCCTTGAAGATCTCCTTACAGGAGTTGCCGTACCGAACGAGAGATGGATTCGAATCCCGCACCCATGTCCCTTCAGAGTAGTTACAAGATCGAACTTCCCCGGGATCCTCCCATTTGGAGGAACCTGGAAGCTCCGCGCGGTCCTCCGGACGAGGACTCACGGCAGGTCCAGAGGATTGGAGGAAAGAGAAGATGAGCAAGAGGGATGCAATGCAGACGAGGATGACCAGGAGAGCGGCGACGGGGGGCTTCCTCCTGTAGATCTCTCTCACCGCCATGAATGGCCAAAGACGAAGTCGGAGAGTCGCGCCCTCACTTCCGTTTCCCCACCTCTGCCATTCTGCTCAGTTCGCCCCGAGATCAGCTGGATCCGTCCTGCCAATTCCCATCTGAATCTCCCTCCCGAATCCACCACTGGATAGTGTGTGTGTGAGAGAGAGGAGAACCGAGAGCGGCGGAGACGGCGGCGAGGGAACCAGCGGCGGCGTCTAAGTTGGGGAAGAAGCAGGTCCCATCTTGGGGAAGATGGAAGCAGTGGTTTTTATTGGGTCGGATCTAGAAGCGTCCACATTTAACTAGATTGATCGTTATTGGGTCGGATCTCCCTGGGTCACCGAAGTCGAATTAATCGTGGTCCAACCGTAGCTCGACCGTTAAGGTAGGTATATATCTTATTCGTCCTGACCAACTCTCAACGATTCCCACATGGACCGTGCCTGGACCGACACAGCGCCTAAATCATAGATAGAGAGAGTGACAGAAGAACACCCAAGATAAAGATGCACACTCAGAGATTTCCCACGTGCTTCCGAGACAACTTCATATTTTCAAACAAAATATACGGATAATGATGTCTGAAATTCTATAAATAGCCGCCGGTTATGAAATTCCCGAGAAGATGGAATGATGATGTTTGAAGTTGATTAAATAATATTATAATTAATGCTACGTCCAATCTGGCGTCAGAGCGAATAACCCAGCATATCCGTCATAATATCGGAAAATTATAGGAAAGTCTATAAAACCGTCAAATTTCCCGCCAGTGCGCCCCCCCAAAGCCGTCATTTTCGCCGGCTCCGCCGACATGCGCAGACGTGAAACTTCTACACTGCATGTTGATGACGTCAGTGCTAATCGCCAACAGTGACTTTCTTCAGAGCGCCACGTTTGTAGTCGGTCAACGAGCCGGGACCCCCTCATCGATGAGTAACGGCACGCGATTCTGGGCTATAAATCTCCGTTGACAGAAGAGGATAAAAACCAGCGGGATCCTTCTCTTTTCTCTGAAGATTTGGGTGTTCTTCTGAGCAACGATGCAGCAGCGACGTGGAGGAAGACATGGAGAGAGAGGAAGAGAAAGAGGGGTGGAGAGGGGGAGGGGGAGCCAGAAGCCACCTGCGTCTGTTCCAGCTCCTTCTTCTTCTTCTCCTCCTGTGGCCAATGTCGCAGAGGAGGTTCGTTCTCTGAGCTGCGATGTGGAGCAGCGGTTCTCCATGGAAGAAGCGCCCCCGCCGTCAGCTGCCCCTCCGCCCGTTCTGGCGCCGTCATCGTCGAAGAGCATAAGACCGCCGCCTCGACCCGGATTCGGGAAGGCCGGCAACAAGGTCATACTACGATCAAATCATTTCCTTGTCAAACTCCCCCACAAGGAAATATTTCACTACGACGTGAGTTCACTGTTACCTGCTCTCTCCCTCGCTCCCTCCTCTCTCTCTCTCTCTCGCTCCCTCCTCTCTCTCTCTCTCTCCCCCTCTCTAGGGTTTTCGTCGTCGTCTGCCTGCATGCACATCATGGGCTTTCCCCGACCCCAAATCGATTTCCTGCACCTGGAGAGGATGTGCGTCAGCGTGCCGTAGATATAGATCTTCATGAATATTCCAGTCCTGTATCCAGCGTTCTCTGGACGTTTTATCTCTCTAAGTCTCCTCGCTTTTCATGGGCTTCCCTTCGTATCCTCCCATTACCTTACACCACCTTGGGGGTAAACTGATCGATAGCTTATCGCTGGGAGTCGCCACCGATTTCTGCTAGAGACCCTGACGCTTTTTCTGGCTCCGATATGTATGTTTAGGTCGCCATTACTCCTGAAGTCCAGTCGAAGGCACTGAACATGTCTATAATCGGTGAGCTTGTTCAAAAGTATGGAGAATCGCATCTGGGAAAGCGACAGCCGGTTTATGATCGCAGAAAAAGCTTGTACACGGCTGGCCCACTGCCGTTCAACTCGAAGGAATTTGTGGTCGAGTTGAAGGAGAAGGACGAATCCAGGCATGCTCCAGTTTGAGCTCCCCTTCGCAGTTTTGTTTATTTCCTCTTTAGATTTCATTAAATCCCACTCACCCTCCTGCTTGTGTTTTTTATTTTTAAAACTGAAGATCAAGGAAATTCAAAGTGGTCATCAGATTAGTGGGGAAGGCAGATCTCGCCCACCTCCATCAGTTCATGGCGCGGATATATTTGGAGGAACCAAAGGAAGCTATCCATGCACTGGATGTCGTCCTTAGACAGTCTCCCTCTCTCGAGTAAACGCTTGGCGTGGCTAAACTAGCTGGTCAACGTTCGTTGTCTATTTCCTGTACAACTAACCGATCGAGTTTCTTCTTTCTTCTCTCCGCCAGCTATGTGACAGTGTCGAGGTCTTTCTTCTCACCGTTGCTGGGGGACACGTTCACCATTGGAGATGGTGTTGAGGGCTGGAGGGGTTTCTATTCAAGTCTTCGTCCGACCCAGATGGGACTTTCATTAAACATTGGTAATTTTTATGGAAAATTTTAGCATTCTTCTCGTTCAATTTTCCCCTAGAGTTGATGCTTATGATGTTACTCTCCATCCATAACTCATTTGGCAGATATTTCGGCTACTTCATTTTACAAGCCAGTAATGGTGACAGAATTTGTCGCCGAGTATCTCGCTCTCAATCCCCGGGCCATGACTGGGCCACTCAGTGACACTGATCGGATTAGGGTCCGTACGATTGATTAGTTGACCTTCTCCAAACCCTTCCATCTTCTTCTGGGTTCTTCTAGAACACATGTTTTGACCATGATTAGGCGACTTTCTAACAGGTCAAGAAGGCTCTCAGAGGGATCAAAGTTCAGGTTACTCACAGGGCAGAAGCAGTCAGGCGGTACCGTGTCACCGGGATATCTTCGGCTCCGGCAAAAGAGTTAATGTACTGCGCTGACCGATAGAGCAAGGCCACGGATTTATAAGTGCACAAGCTGTATTTTTCCACAATTCTCATCGTGTTCATCGCTTTTTGGCTGCGTGATCAGGTTTTCTGTGGATGATCAAGGGACAGCAAAGATATCTGTTGTTCGGTATTTCAAGGAGAGGTATAATGTTCATTTGAAGCTTCCCAACTGGCCGTGTCTTCAGTCAGGAAGTGATAAGACCCCCATATATCTACCAATGGAGGTTCTCTTGGTGCAACTTGTTCATCACAGTTCGCTTCACTAGTGACTGCACCTTCTGTTGTTTTTCATTGGAGCTTCCTACTTGAGTCCAGGTGTGCAGAATTGTGGAGGGACAGAGATATACCAAAAAATTGAATGAACGGCAAGTAACAAATATGCTGAGGGCAACATGCAGGCGACCAAAGGAGAGGGAACAGTCTATTGCAGCTGTAGGTCTTTCCATACTCGTTTCCGATTCCTTCCTCTCTGTTTACGTTCATTATGACTGACTCTGTGAATGTTTAGTTGAATGTTGGCGGCAGATACGGTAATGACAAATTTGTGAAAGAGTTTGGGATCAGCGTCGGGAAAGAACTCTGTACGATTGAAGGTCGGGTGCTTCCACCTCCAATGGTGAGGGCATTTCTTTCAATAGTAATCTGGCTTCTTCGAATGTTGGATGAATATGGACTGACATTTTTTTCTGGATATGGCAGCTCAAGTACCACGATAGTGGTCAGCAGAAACAGTGCCTGCCAGAAGTTGGGCAATGGAATATGACTAATAAGGTGACGAGAAGCTTCACTTAGTATTGTTCTTAGCACAGTCCCATGCCTCGTCGTTAAATGTTCTTTTTTGATAAATGATTTCCATTACCTTGATTCCTCGAAATTAGATATACATACATGAATTATCTGCTGGTGCATCCACTGTCCTATCATCTCAGTCATTTCTAACCAGGTTGCAGCTCTACCCGCTTCCATTTAACCATGAATCTTTCACAGAGGTATCTCATTAGCTCTGGTGATTCGCAGAGGATGGTTAATGGCGGGATGGTGCAGTACTGGGCATGCTTGAATCTTTCAGGATGCCAGAACGAGGTGGTAGATAATTTTTGTTATCAGCTGGGATCCACCTGTCAGCAGAAAGGCATGGTACGGGCCCAATTCTTGTTTCCTTGCTCTTTTTCATTGCAGAAATCTGGGCTTTTTGTCTTTGATAAAATATTCGTCCCTTCTCTCTCATCGTGATCCTGTTGCAGTTCTTCGAGCCACAACCGGTAATAGATACTTTGCGGGCTCCTCTTGGAAAATTGGAGGCGGCTCTGGTTCACATCCACGAAGAGAGTTCTGCCATTTTGAATTCACAGGGTGAGGGGAAGCATCTCCAGCTGCTGATGGTTATCTTGCCGGGAAAGGGTGGATTCTATGGTAAGCTATCTTCTATGATCCTCTTAGGCTGGAATTTGATTGGCTCTAGACATCGTATCTTCTACTCGTGTCATTGAGTTCACTTACTGATCCTCCTAGGATTTTTTATGCAGGCAAGATCAAGAGGATATGTGAGATTGATCTGGGTATCGTCTCCCAATGCTGCCTATCGAGACACATTATGAGATTCAATAGTCAGTATTTGGACAATGTCTCGTTGAAGATTAATGTCAAGGTTTCTCTTCTTTTTTTGCTTATTTCTAGGTCTAGTATATTATGAAATTAATCCGGACACCTTATTTCTAAATCTATGGAATCATGAGACCATGCTACATATTTGATGAGATAGGTGAACGGAAGAAATACTGTTCTTCTGGATGCTGTGACAAGGCGGATGCCGTTCATTACAGATAAACCCACCATAATCTTCGGTGCAGATGTCACTCATCCTGCCCCCGGAGAGGATCACATACCTTCCATCGCAGCGGTATGATTTTCTAAACTTTCTGGTAGGATTTTTCATTTTTTTTTTATCATAGCTGTTCTCCATTGTCTTTTGACATTTACAAACAGCTGCTGTTCTCAGGTGGTAGCCTCCATGGATTGGCCCGAAGTGACTAAATATAGGTGCCTGGTCTCTGACCAAACCCACAGGCAAGAGATCATAAAGGATCTATTCATACCCCCCCAGGGAGAAAAACCAGTTGGAGGCATGATCAGGTTTACTGAAAAAGGAACATTATTATAATTGTTGAATCTTTCCGATACCCTCTTCCACTCTCTGACGTTCCTTCCTGTTCCGCAGGGATCATCTGCTTGCGTTCTTCAAGAAATCCAGGCAGAAACCAGAGCGTATCATATTCTACAGGTTCGCTACTAATTAATTTTATAGACGTTGGATAGCCTTTTAAAGCCGTTAATCGATTTTCCGTGGAGGCTGCAGGGACGGTGTCAGTGAAGGTCAGTTCAATGAGGTCCTCCTGTATGAAATGGATGCTATACGCAAGGTGGCGGTTTTTTCACCCTTCTTCAGTCGAGTCTTCTCCTCCACCACCTCCTGTTTCTCTCTTTTCTTCGACATGAAGCTTCAACTCCTAGAAGAAGTCTCTTCTGACTCGCCGCCATCTGCCGTCGTCGTGTTCCCAGGCCTGTCAGTCCCTGCAGGCGGAGTATCTCCCCCGGGTGACATTCGTCGTGGTGCAGAAGAGGCATCACACGAGGTTCTTCCCGCGAGATGGAAAGACTGACAGGAGCGGAAACATTCTACCTGGTCTGAAAAATCATAGAAGTTTTGATTTTGTTTTCTTCTTTATATTGTATTTCATCTCCCTGAGGTTTGGATCTTGATTGACGACAATTTTTCTGCTTCCGCTGTTTTTCCAGGCACTGTCGTGGACACCAGCATCTGTCATCCTACGCAGTTTGACTTCTACCTATGCAGCCACGCGGGAATCCAAGTCAGCTGATCGTCCGTAGATCCGTTAGTGGCACGGGCTGACTCTTTTTCGTGTTCTAACTCTTTGATCTTCTTTTGCTCCGTGATGCCTGTCTTCAGGGAACCAGCAGACCCACCCATTACCACGTCCTGTTCGACGAAAACAAATTCTCTGCTGACGGCCTCCAGACTTTGACGAACGACCTCTGCTATACGTAACCTCTTCTTCTCTCTCTCTCTCTCTCTCTCTCTCTCTCACACGCACAGACATACACACCCTCGCACGTCTGCCTCAACATTAATCACCCACATGACTCCCCACCTCTCTTCCTATAAGTAGATATATATTTGTTGACTGTGATCTCTTTCCTCTTTCAGATACGCTCGCTGCACTCGCTCAGTCTCAGTGGGTGGGTATCAAAGATTACCAATTTTACCATGGATTCTTGCCTCGGCGGGTTGATGAGTCTGATCATCTTTCCTATCTGCTATGCAATTGACTGCTCTTGTTCTTGGTGCAGTCCCTCCTGCGTACTACGCCCACCTGGCGGCGTTCCGCGCGAGGTACTACATAGATGGAGGCGCGTCGGACAGAGACTCCAGCAGCGGCACCGTCACCCGGGGGACGTCTGCGGCTCTCACCATTCTTCCCCGCGTGAAGCCGACCGTGCAGGACGTCATGTTCTACTGCTGAGGCTCTCTCTCTCTCTCTCTCGTTGTTGCAATGGTCACGTATTTTTTGAGTGGGCATCGTTCTCTGCGGGATCGTCACGCTGGTTCTTTCTCATGAGTTTGGGTGTATATTTTGGGTGTTGTTCATCTTATGGTGGCGTGAACCATTGGCAATGGAATGTTTACTGTTTATATCACGTATGTTTAATGAAGATCCTGATAGTGAAGCATGCGTCAGAGGAAAATATATTATAAAATGCCCTAATTTTGAAGGTTCTGTCACTAGAACTCTTGAAATTGTTTATGTTGATTTACTTGGACCGTCAAATGTGTCAAGTTGAATAGCTCAAGACATTGCTTGTAATAGTGGATGATTATTAACTAGCAAATTTAACAAATGTTATAGAGGATAATTTGAGTATTCTTTTTGCCCAAAGTAGGGTTTTGAGCGAAAAGTAAAGAGAAATTAGATCGATAGCTTTCAATTCTAACTTACCTCTGCATTATACTTGGAGAAAGGTTTTCATAACTGGTTACGTAATAACCCTAAACATATAATATTCTGTTCTTGGTTCATCCACACTTCAATCTTCAGCACATGTATCTGAATTCAGCCGAAAAAGCTGAAATTTATATATTTATTGAAATTTCAATAATTAAATTCAGTCACACTATGTTTAACTCGTAATTTAATGAAACTTATGCTAACTTTAGAGAATGTAGCACGTGACTAAACAAATCATTTATTGAAACTTATGAGAATCAGATATACGGAAAGCTATATTTCATCCCCCTCCTGAACTTTAAGCTACTTGAGCTAAACCAACATCTTATCTTTACACATTATCAACCTGTAGATTTACTTAGAAACTAAATAGTCCAGTATTTCAAATTAGTGTATAGGGAAATACTATTTTGATGACTTTCTAAATAAAATTAGAGAATTAATAAGAACATGGTATTCGACTTACCCATAGCTGTCTATCTTTATGGAAATCAAAAGGTTTGACTAATAAATATACACACAGTGGCTCATGAGCAACGTCAGTGACCCATATCACTGGATTTGATGTTTGATGAACTTGTGACGGAGAAGTGGCCGCATGTGACGCAACAATGGTTCATGTCATCACATCAGCCCAAATTAAATCTAATGGTTTGTCTCGTACTCCCTGCATTTCTGCTCGTGCAAAGCATATAGAGAATAAGAGAGACGAAGAAAAAGAAAGAGAGAGCACTCGCTGTAGCTAGTATTCAGAACAGGCGGCGAATGCCCTTCACGTCAGACCCTTTCATTTGATGAAAATTATAAAGAGCTGCCGTAAGTTTAATCCCCAAGAGAACGCCAGGCCAAATTCTGAAGAATATCAAGTGATGATGTTAAAAAGTTTTGGATAAAGTTGGAGGATGAGGTGTCTGTGCATCCTTCATACTTATACCTTTTGTATCTTTTTATTTTTCGTATTATCCCTATCGTTATTAGGTCGGGTCACTTATAACCTGGATTCGATCCGATAATTAACAGGGCCACGAGCCCTAAGTTGAAGAACATTTCATTTTACATTGTTACCCTCTGTGTTCGTCGTCAGGCAGGCTATGAGCTCAAACGATTGAGGCCTGTCAAGCGATATGATATCAAAGCATCAGGTGCATCCGTTCTAGCTCTTATCTATCGTCAGCTTCGAAATCTCTTGTGAGACTCATAGTAGCTGTAGTTCATTCATTCTTTCTGGGCTTCGAAGGTCCGTGTTTGTTGAGACTGCAAACCCTAATAAATGGAAGAGACTCCCGTCTTATCCCCGGTGCCAGTTACTGCAACAGAAGAGTATCTAAGATGGTTTGAACTCTCTAAAATCCCTGAAAAGTATAGGTTCGATGGATTGAGGTTATTATAGTGGCGAGAGTATGTTGAGATGATTTTTAGTCGGTCAAAGGAATCTAACATATTTGACTAGTGAAACCCACACTGTGTCAGACCCTCGACATAATGAATTTGAGATATTCTGCCTAATGACGAAATCAATAACATTAGTTCAAGGGAACCAGAAGATAATGGAGTATGTGGGGGAACTAGCGACGACCTAGATGGAGATTCATCACTATAGACCAGTGTAGAACCCAGATTAATATATATCTTTAGTTGTTTGGGGCCCAGTCATCCGCTTCGACTCATTCGTGAGTCGTTGGTCTTCTCATGCAACTTGAACCCTCTCATGCAGGATATTCTCGTCGTGTTGGTCAACTTGAACCCTCTCATGCAAGCTATTCTCGGAAGGGACGTCTGGGACGACGCCGATCTTCGAAGCTAAGTTCTTCCTATTGTTTCTCGATGAGCTCTATTCGTGCGTCATTGAACTTAGGTGGCATAGTGAGTGTCTCTGATACCAGTTTGATAGGTCCCTTACCCTCTTAGGCGATACAGACCGCCTGCTGGGGCTTGGATGGAGAGAGATCTCACTACGAAAGTTGAAGGCTACAAGGGAGAGTACTCTAGGAGAAAGAGATAACGATAACGATAGAGAGAGAGCGGGGAGAGATACCTCGATACAGACCATTTCGAGGGTTGACTTCCAACTAAGTTCTATCAGGAATACTCTCGTGTCCCCTTCCATTTCGCCCTCACCCCCCTCTTTATAATCTTCATACTTCCTCACGATCCAATTATTCGCCGTCAATATCCGCGAGCCACTTCTCTTCCATGCGAGTCATATTCTCTGATACTTGTGAGGTTCTTCTCCTCTGCCCGGTTCCCGCAGTTCTCCCTCACCGCCACGGACGGCCAAAGACGAAGTCGGAGAGTTGCGTCTCACTTCCGCTTCCCCACCTCTGCTGCCCGCTGCCGCATGCAATTTGAAGCTCCGGATAGCAAAAGCAGGCATCTACAGGGTGAAGCACTCGCCATTATGTTTAGTTCCCCCCCCCCGAGGTAAGCTGGATCGCAATTCCCATCTGAATCTCCCTCCCGAAGCCAACCAATCACAATCCCCCCCCACTAGATATATATATATATATATATATATATATATATATATATATATAGAGAGAGAGAGAGAGAGAGAGAGAGAGAGAAAGCACCAGCGGCGCCGCCTGAGTTGCGGAAGAAGCAGGTCCCATCTTGGGGAAGATGGGGGTAGAGGTTCTTTATTGGGTCGGATCATCCGGGATCCAATAAAGTCAAATTAATCCAGGTCCAACCACGGCTTTCTCGGTTGTTGCCCAAATCATAGATTTACGACGGGTACGAGTGCGCCGTCACGTCGAACCCATAATAAGCTCTCTAACTAATATCTCTTTATTTTTCACTCAAACCCTATTTTAGGCAAAATATCCCCTTTTTACTCGACTTAATCATCCGTAAAAATTGCTAAAATAGCTAGTAAATAATCTATTTTGGCTCACTCTACCACCTGAAATCATCCACTATCACAAAACCATGTCTTTACCATTTAAACTCGAAATTTTTGGTCCAAATAAATCAACGTGAATAATATCTAGAGGTCTAGATGTTGTAAGAAAACCTTTAAATTTAAGTGATTTTCTAATACATTAAGAACTAACCACAACTTGAGTTTATCAAATCGAAAATATTTAATATACACCAAACATCCTGAGGAAAACCCCATAAGATGAACAAAACCCCCAAATATACAACGAGCCTACTGAGAAACCCCCCCCTAAGTACGATGAACAAAACCCTCATATACACCGAACCATCTGAGAAGAACCACGTAAAATAAGCATCAGTCTGTCGATCGAGAGAGAGAGAGAGAGAGAGAAGGAGAGATTAAATTCAGCAGTAAAACATGACGTCTTGCACGATCTTCTGCACGCTGGGGAGAACGGTTGCACCCGCAGACGTCCCCCGGGCGACGGTGCCGCTGCTGGAGTCCCTGTCCGAAGCGTCGCCATCTACGTAGTGCCTCGCGCGGAACGCCGCCAGGTGGGCGTAGTACGCAGGAGGGACTGCACCAAGAACAACAGTCGTCAGCCCGAGGGGGAAGGGGGTGGTCGTTGCAGTGGAGATTGGAGAGAAGGTTGACTTTATCAACCCGTCCAATCAAAAATCCGAGATAAAAATGGTAAATCTTTGATACACACCCACTGAGACTGAGCGAGTGCAGCGAGCGTATCTGAAAGATGAATGAATTGGCCATCAACATGCATATCTAGATATATCGCGTCACTAGATAAATGTTGAGAGAGACGCGCGGATGTGTGTGTGAGTGAGAGTGAGTGAGTGAGAGAGAGAGAGAGGGAGAAGAAGAGGTTACGTATAGCAGAGGTTGTTCGTCAACGTTTGAAGGGCATCAGCAGAGAAGCCATTTTCGTCGAACAAGACGTGGTAATGGGTGGGTCTGCTGGTTCCCTGAAGACAGACATCACGGCGCAAAAAAAGATAAAGGGTTAGAGTGCGAAAAAGAGTCAAACCTGTGCCACTTACGGATTACAGAGGATCAGCTGACCTGGATTCCCGCGTGGCTGCAAAGGTAGAAGTCAAACTGCGTAGGATGACAGATGCCGGTGTCCACGACAGTGCCTGGAAAAACAGTGGAAGCAGAAGAATCATCATCCATCAAGATCCCAACCTCAGTAGTAAAAATAATAATAATAAAGAAAAAAAATCAAGACTTTTCCGATTCTCAGACCAGGTAGAACGTTCCCGCTTCTGTCAGTGTTTGCACGATCACGAGGGAAGAACCTCGTGTGATGCCTCTTCTGCACCACGACGAATGTCACCGGGGGAAGATACTCTGCCTGCAGGGACAGACAGCCCTGGGAACACGACGACAGCAGACGGCGAGTAGTGAGAAGAGACTTCTCCTTGGGGTTGAAGCTTCAAGTCGAAGAAGAAAAGAAAGAAACAGGAGGCGGTGGGGGAGAAGACTCGATTGAAGAAGAAGGGCGAAAAAATCGCCACCTTGCGTATAGCATCCATTTCATATAGGAGGACCTCATTGAACTGACCTTCGCTGACACCGTCCCTGCAGCCTCCATTGACAATTGATTAACGGCTATAAAAGGTTATCCAACGTCTATAAAATTAATAGCAGCATCGGTGAGTAGAAAACCTGTAGAATATGATACGCTCTGGTTTGCGCCGGGATTTCTGGTAGAACGCAAGCAGATGATCCCTGCAGAACGGGAAGGGTTGTTAAGAAGGCGGAAGGATGTGTGAAAAATTGGAAAGAATAATAATAAAAGAATAAAATTCCTTTTTAAGTAAACCTGATCATGCCCCCAACTGGGCGGTCACCCTGGGGAGGTATGAATAGATCCTTTATCATCTCTTGCCTGCGGGTTTGGGCAGAGACCAGGCACCGATAGTTCGTCACTTCCGGCCAATCCATGGAGGCAACAACCTGAGAAGAGCAGTTGGGCGTAAAAAGTCAGAAGAAAATGGAGAAAAATGTTGTTAAAAATTTAAATATTACGAGAAAGAATAGAAAATCATACCGCTGCGATAGAAGGGGTGGAATCTTCTCCGGGTGCAGGATGAGTGACATCTGCGCCGAAGATTATGGTGGGTCTGTCGGTAATGAATGGTATCCCCCTTTTCGTCATAGCATCCAAAAGAACAGTGTTCCTTCCGTTGACCTGCCACATCAACGATGTACTATGGTCTTATGGAATATCATAGAAATTCGTTAATTCGGGAAAATGCCATCCGTGTTTATTTTATACTATCTGAGATTTAGAAATAAGCACAAAAAAAGAGGAACTTGGAGGAGATGACACAGCAAACCTTCACATTGATCTTCAACGAAACATTTTCCAAATACTGATCATTGCATCCCCAGACGTGTCTCAATTGGCAGCACTGGGAAACGATACCCAGCTCGGTCTCACATATTCTCTTGATCTTGCCTGCGGAGAAAGTAAACGACAACAGTGGAAGATATAATATGTTGAACTAAATAATTCCAGACTAGGACGATGGTAGATGATAACTCACCATAGAACCAACCCTTTCCGGGCAATATAACCATCAGCAGCTGGAGACGCTTCCCCTCACCTTGCTTCTTCAAAATGGCAGTAGTCCTGTCGTCGATGTCTTTCAGAGCTTCCTCCACTCTTTCTACAGGTGCCCGATGAGTATCTATCACTGGTTGTTGCTCGAAAGACTGCACCAAGATCATGATGAGAGAAAAGGGATGTATATTTTCATCACAGGAAAAATCCCAGAGTTTTGCAAGGGAAAGGCGCAAGGACAGAAGAATTGGGGTGTACCATGCCGATTTCCTGACACCTGGATCCCAGACGACGACAGAAATCATCTACCTGATTGTTGTCCCAATTTGACAGATTCAAGCATGCCCAGTACTTCACAGTCCCACCATTAACCATCCTCTGGGAATCACCAAAGCCGGTGAGATCAGTATTTGTGCCTTAATGGAAGCGGGTAGAGCATCATTATTTAAACCCTTCATGTATGTAAATCAATGTCCAAAGGAATCGAGATAAAAATAAATTAAAAATAAATAAGTTAAGGATGAGATGCGTGGGACTGTTCATCGAACACTAAATGAGACATCTTGTCACCTTATTTCTCATATTCCATTGTCCAGCCGCTGGCTGGCACTCTTTGTGTTGACCACTCTCGTGGTACTTGAGCTGTAATATCCAGAAAAAAAGTCAGCCCACATTCATCCACTTTCGAAGAAGCCAGATTACTATAGAACGAAAAGTCCTCACCATTGGAGGTGGAAGCACCCGACCCTCAATCGTACAGAGTTCATTGCCCACGCTGATCCCAAACTCTTTCACATACTTGTCATTGGCATATCTGCTTCCAACAACCAACTAAAATTTTATAGAGTCAGTCATAAATAACGTAAACAGAGGAGACGGAATCCGAAAGGAGTAATGAGAGCATCGAACCAAAGAGGAGGAAGGAAGGACCTACAGCTGCAATACTTCGTTCCCTCTCATTTGGGCGCCTGCATGTTGCCCTGAGGATTGCTGTTACTTGTCGTTCATTCAACTTTTTGGTGTACCTCTGTCCCTCCACAATTCTACACACCTGGTATCAACAAGGAAGCTTGAATGCAAAAAGAAAAAAAAAAGAAGATGAATTCATAGGTGAAGCGCACTGTGATGAACAAATTGCATCAGGAGAACCTCCATCGGTAAATATATTGGCCTCGTATCACTTCCTGACAGAAGACAGGGCCAGTTGATGTGCTTCAGTTGGAGTTTATACTTCTCCTTGAAATACCGAACAACAGATATCTTTGCAGTCTCTTGATCATCCGCAGAAAACCTGATTAACCAACTGAAAATAATGAGCACAATCAAAATTAGAAAATGACAACAGCTGGAGCCTAATAATCGAGGGTCTTGTTCTATCAGTTAATACAGTACATTAACTCTTTTGCTGGCGCTGAAGATATCCCAGTGACACGGTATCGCCGGACTGCTTCTGCCCTGTGAGTTACCTGAACTTTGATCCCTCTGAGAGCCTTCTTGATCTGTCGTTAGATGATGAGAATGAATGAAGACGTGAACTCGTAGACAGAAATACGGGTTCAACAAGTACCCAGAAGAAGAAGAAAAAAAAAAAAAAAGTTTGGAGAAGGCCAACTGATCATCATACAGACCCTAATCCGATCAGTGTCACTGAGTGGCCCAGTCATGGCCCGGGGAATGAGAGCGAGGTACTCGGCGACAAATTCTGTCACCATTACTGGCTTGTAAAATGAGGTAGCCGAAATATCTGCCAAATGAGTTATGGATGGAGAGAGTAACATCATAAGTATCAACTCTAGGGGAAAACTGAACGAGAAGAATGCTAAAATTTTCCATAAAAATTACCAATGTTTAGTGAAAGTCCCATCTGGGTCGGACGAAGACTTGAATAGAAACCCCTCCAGCCCTCAACACCACCTCCAATGGAGAACATGTCCCCCAGCAATGGTGAGAAGAAAGACCTTGCCACTGTCACATAGCTGGCACAGAGATGAATTAAAAAACACTCAGTTGCACAGGAATAGGACACCGAACGTAGACCTGCAAGATTAGCCACGCGATACGTTTACCTGAGAGAGGGAGTCTGTCTTAAGACGACATCGAGTGCATGAATAGATTCCTTTGGTTCATCCAAATGCCTGCCCGCCATGAACTCATGGAGGTGGGTGAGATCAGCCTTCCCCACTAATTTGATGGCCACTTTGAATTTCCTTGATCTTCATAAGAAAAAAAAACCAAAGCCGCAAGAGAGTGGCATTTAATTGAATTTAAAGAGAAAATAAATAAAACTGCAAAGGGAAGCTCAAAATGGGCATGCCTGGATTCGTCCTTCCCCTTCAACTCGATCCCAAATTCCTTCGAGTCGAACGGCAGAGGGCCAGCCGTGTACAAGCCTTTTCTGCGATCATAAACCGGCTGTCGCTTTCCCAGATGCGATTCTCCATACTTTTGAACAAGCTCACCGATTATAGACATGTTCAGTGCCTTCGACTGGATTTCAGGAGTAATGGCGACCTAAACATACGTATCGGAGCCAGAAAAAGCGTCAGGATCTCTAGCAGAAAACCCAGCAGAAATTGGTATCAATTTCCAGGGATAAGTTGTCGATGAGTTTAACATGTCTTAAATTGAGAAAATTACAACTCCGATCGCACAAAAGTTCGTTCAGGCTGTCAACGATTAATCCCCAAGGTGAAGAAAATTAAAGGGAAGATACAACGGAGAGCCCATCTGCGTCGAAGAACGCGGATGCGCATGACAAGCGAGGAGAGTTGACGATGGAGCGAGAAACGTCCAGAATACACACGGAGAGTTATAATACTGAAGCATAACTTATCCAAGGCCAGGAAAAGGGTCTGGGGTCGTCGATGAGGCAGGAACAGTGCCCATGATATGGATGTACGAAAACGACTGCAAAGTACGGAGAGGGAGAGAGAGAGAGAGAGTAATTTAGTGACGTAAGAAGAACAAGTAAAAGTAATTTCAGCAACTGACGTCGTAGTGGAATATTTCCTTCTGAGGGAGCTTGACAAGGAAATGGTTTGCTCGAAGTGTGATCTTCTCGCCGACCGTCCCGAATCCTGGTCGAGCAGGCGGTCTTATGGTCTTCGACGATGACGGCACGAGAATGGGAGGAGAAGCAGGCGGTTGAGCTGACGCCGACGGCGCGTGTTCGATGGAGAGCCGCTGCTCCACATCGCGGCTCAGAGAGTGAACTTCCTCTGCAACAACGGCCGCAGGAGGAGGAGATGTAGAAACAGGCAGAGATTGCTGATGGCTTTCCCTCTCCACACCTCTTCCTCCTCCCTCTCCACCCCTTCCCCTGTTCCCCCCGCCGTCGCCGCCGCCGCCGCTGCCTTTTGCAGCGGCTCCAACCCCACCCTGCCTTCCTCTTCCTCTTCCTCGCCCTGCACTGCCACTCTGACGCTGCATCACTGCTCAGACAGATGACCCAGATCTCCAGGAACCTGCAGCACTCGTTTCTCTGTACTGCTCTGTAAATTTCGCCCCTCTAGTCGTCAATGGCGGCGATGAAGGGTCCCACCATGAAGGAACCTGATGCGCTCTTCAAGGAAGCTGCAGTTCATTTCCCCCACTTCGTGACAACGAAGAGCGCTGACGTAATCAGAGCTTGCGTGAGCAACAAGAACGCAGCGGGTGACCATCATGTCAGTTCACGTAGGGGCGAAGGCGGCAAAATAACGGCTTTTGGGTTATCGCCCAACGTCGCCGGCGGAGAAGGCGACGGGTGGATTTGGCAAGGATTTCCGAATCTGCCAAATGCAATTAAATTAGACGGTTTTATGTACGTATCGTAGGGCTTTTTTAATTTTTTTTGGATATTATGGTCAATACGCCTGCGAGTTTTATTATTATTTTATAGAATTTCGGACATATCATTATTCGATATTCTAGGGAATTTGAACTCACGGCGGCTATTTATAAATTTACGAAGATCATCACTCTTTATATTTTACTTGATCTTCATCCTTGAGCACACAGCGAAAAATCTATTCGTGTTAAAGCCCTCGACAATTCTAAGTTAGATTGAAGTTTATTCAGGAGAAAAGGTTTTCAAGATAAGAAAGTTACGGACTGATTTGGTAAGAACCCTAAATGTTCTATATTTTGTTCTAGGTTCGTCTATAGTTTAACCTTTAGCACATGGATTTGTTTAGGCCAGTACATTCAATAGTCGGTCGAAAGAGTTTAGGATCCAGCACATAAGTTTTATGAAGTTTATACATTTAGTGAAGTCTTACTAAAGTAAAATTCGGCATGTTCGACTCGTAATAATGAAAATTTTATATTTTAACCTTAGAGAGGGTAGTACGTGACTAAACAAACCACTATAAGATCCTGAATTGGTATCATTTGTGTCAAATCATTGAGTCAAATATACAAAAAAAACTATATTTCATACCCCTCTTGAACTATAATGCTCCTTTAGCTAAACCAACATTTATGTCTACACATGATCAAACTGTAGATGTACTTACTAAGAAACTAAATAGTTCAATGTTCCATTATATACAAGTTGTGAACAGAGAATGACTATTTGATGAATTTAGGAAATAAAATTAGAGTATTTTCAATTCACCCTCGCCCTCTCTTGACGATGTGGTTCAATAAATCATTTGATTATATTTAGGCTATTTTCATTTTCTTTGGATAATTGTATACGAATGTTCTAGGAATTGATATTCTACAAATTTTTCCTCATTATTTCTACCTTTTTTGGTTTACTTCAAAAGTAGAAATACTTTATAAAATTATAAGACCAACTAGAGGAGCTTACTATCCAGGTGGTGCTATTGTTTGTGTCTTGAGCCTTTACGTACATAAATAACCCATTCTATTCTAGCTAGTGTGAATATCTCCGTCATAGAGACATTGTATCCTATGTTCTTTTATCCAAAAGGTCCTCTTAAAATCATCCTCCCAAGCTATTATTTCCGTATGTCATGATCTTGGTTGTCCTTTAAAAGCTGGACATGCTAGGATCCATGTCTGCGTCAAAACTAATGGGACTAGGTGGAGTAAAGCACATTCAACATAGCTAATCTAGATCTCAAAGAAACATTGTGAGCTTTAAAAAAAACCACACGAACCTTTGAAAGTTTCACTACCACCTATGAAGGACAAAAGCTGATATCACAGAGATTTGAAATATCTTGAAACTTTTTAAGATGAAAATGTATCATCATCGTTCTTAAAGTAATAAGCAATCAAACGAGCATAAAGCTTCTCAGTGGATTCAATCCTGTCCATATGGAAACCAAAGGTTTGACCAAAAGACATCAACTGTAGCTCAGGGGCAAGGTCAGTTAACCCATATCACTTATATGATGTCTTAAGAACTTTTATGCAGTACGTGGCCGCATGTGAGGCAACGGTGGCCCATAACGACGCATCATCCCCTTTGAATCCGACGTTTCTGCCTCGTACTCCCCGCATTCCCGCTCGTTGCGCAAATCATAGACAGACAATAAGAGAGAGAGAGAGCGAGAGAGAGAGAGAGAGAGAGAGAGAGAGAGAGAGAAAGAGAGAGAGAAAGATCACTTGCTGTGTCACCTGTAAATTTCAGGCGGCGAATGACTGTCAAGTCAGGCTTGTGTTCATATATAGTGATAACGTCTGTTAAATCCCCAAGTAATGTCGAAATTTTATAACTAATATTAAAGTTAATTAGTGTAGTCAGGCCAGATTCCCAGTAATATCGAGTCATGATTTCCGAATTTTTTAAATAATAATACTAAAGAATAATTATGGTGAGGCATCGTCAGTCTCTTCAAATCCCCAAGAATATCGAGTGATGGTCCCCAAATTTGTTAACAATACCAAAAACAATTATTTGAGCCGTCAAAAACAATTATCTAGTAATAATCTCTAATAATTTCTTAAAAAGCTCTTCATGGGTAAAAATAAAGCCATCTATACTAAACTTTACAGATTGACGGCGGTCTGTCAGATTTGAGAATCTTTGCCGTCGTCTGCGGTCTGCAACGCGGTCCAAAGCCAGATAAAGCTTGGCCGTACGTGGACCTGCGTGTGATTCTATGCCATTCAGGCTTTGCCCACGTGCTAGCGGGCTTGCTATCCCAGCATCCTTGGGAGCCACGCTACAGCTTTCGCTAAGGCTGCCAGATGTGGGCACACGTGCTTTTCTGCGGCTTTCAATCGAACGCGCACCGTCGTCGAGAAGGGATCCCGATTCCGGATTGCCGGAGAGCGGATCAGACTTCCGGCAAATCATTTCCGTATGAAGCTCCCCCATTAGGAAATATTTCACTACGCAGTAAGTTGCTGAAATTACGTCTAACGTTCTTCGTGTTTCATCAATGATTCGGAATCCGAACCTTCATCAGTTTCAAGGTTTTGGATATTTCCATTCTTCACCGTTGTCCTCGTGCATGCATGTCATGGGCAGTGTCGTTCTCACGCATGTATATTTTTCTGCCCTTTGGATAAGATGTAATTCAATATGTCCTACATATAATTCTGTGTATAATTTAGACTAGTATTATTGTTTTCCATACATTTCTCACTGTATCCTTAGTCTCATGGATTTTTTTTCATATCCTCCTATTAATTTACACCTTTTGATTTATTCTGTAGCTCAGAACATACAAAGATAAAAAGGAGCCTTAAACTAGAGGCCCAATCACATAAACATTCGGTCATAAAAAAAATGTTAAGAGGCAGCCTAAAACTTAATTGGATCTCAATACAGTACGAAAAGTCACTTTTTGTCTCTATTGTTCTAAAATATGTTTTAATTATGTCCAAAATGTCAGAGTTTCTTTCATATCATTTCACAATTTATATTGATTTATTTAGAATCTCTCATATTTTAATTCTTATAATTTTAAAATTTATGTAGAACTTATTTAGTGTCTATTTTACCTTTCAGAGTACACTTTTTTGGGGATGGTCCACCTACTTGTTAGGCCTATCTAAAAGTGCTCCCCCTCCCCTTCATTGTAACCAAAATGATCAATTAAAATATCACAATTTTTATCTCTTATGAGATTACTCTCTCCCTATGTATGGATTCAAGCACCCTTAAAGAATTTAAAGATTCTTTTTTGATCTTGTAGATTCAAGGTCACCCTCTTGTATTCAAGTTCTACAAAATAGTGTTCCTCATGATAATTGTGTTATATACTCTACTTTTAGTGAGGTCAACTTAAACCTTTGAGTGGTCTCTTTATTGTTTTATTCTATTTTGAGAAGATAAATCAAAGTAAAGATGCCTAATTTCAATATATACCTATTAAATAGCAACTGAGATGTCATGATTAATTGAATTTAAATGGGTTAGAATTTTAGTTACATAAAAAAAGAGTTGAATTGATTTGGTCCTAATTTGATTTTTGATTAGCAACTTTTAATTTTCTTGATCTTTCCTTCCTCAAATCTTAAATTCTAATAAATCTCCTAGTTTTACACTCGATTAATATAAAAAAAATTCATAACAGGTCAGCCCCATGCTTACATCTAATTTTCAATAATACTCTGATCTTGAATTAGCCTAAATCAAGTGTTTAGCAAATAATTGTAGATTACCAAGTTTAGGCCACATAAATTTTCATCTTGAAAATATCTTCTACATTCTTTACTATAAGTGACTCACTATTGACTATAGGGATAAGTTCTATTGAATAATTACATTTTAATATAATCACAATTTTATCTTAAATAAAAATAAAAAAATTCATTGTAATTTTTTTCAGTAATTGAAAAATGCCTAAGCTAGCTATACAAATTTGGTGAAGAAGAGATTTAATGAACTTGATTTTATATGTATTATTCATGTTAGGGTGTTATTTGAGTGATGAAGATTTTTGCACTTCAATCAGGTAGAGGATGATTTTGCTATTTAACCACACTTCAAAGACCATTCTAATTTACAGAGGTATTGACTACCTCTCCCCACAATTCATGAGGTATTTCTCTCTCTTTTAGCATGCTCCTTACCATGGACATGATTGTCTGATTTTTCCTTTCAACTATACCATTCTGCTGAGGAGAGTAAGAGGTGATCAATTACCTTTTAATGTCCTATGAAACACTAAAATCATTGAATTCGTTAGAATTAAACTCTCCACCTCTATCTGAACAAGGACACTTCAGTTTCGTGTTCTTCTCTACTTCAACCAAAGCTTTAAACTTCTTGAATTGACCGAAGGCTTCTAATTTATGCTTGAACATAGCCACCCACATTAACCTCAAGAAATCATCCACGATGAGGAGGAAATACTGACTTCCCCCTAGTGTGGGTGGATTGATTGAGTCACATATGTCAGCATACACTAGCTCGAGAGGTTTTAAGACTCTGAAAACAAAGGCTTTAGGAAATGGATTACGATGTTGCTTCTCTACAAGACAACTCTAGCAAATGTGATCAAAAACACTGATCTATGGGAGTCCTTCCACTAATTGCTTGCTCAACATTTCTTTTAATGTGTGAAAATTCAAGTGGCCAAACTGCGAGTGCCATAGCCGACTTGTAATTTCATCTTCTTTAGTGATTAGACATTGTTCTATCACATTTAACTTAAGCAAATAGAGCCTCCAATCTGTTCGATGAACTTCTGCTAATAGTGCTCCATCTCTATCAAAGATGGTCAATCGACCTCCATACATGACCATATGACATCCTTCTTCATCTAGTTTGCCTAAACTAAGAATATTAGCACATAATTTGAGAACAAAGAGAATATTATCAAAATGAATTTTCCTTTCATCGTACCAATGAACAAGGACTCTACCTCTGCCTTGAATTTCAACACGTGAATTGTCACCGAATTTAACAAATCCAGAGGTTGATTCATCAAGATCCGAGAAATAACTTCTCCTTCTGGTTATGTGATTAGTGGCTACAGTATCAAGATACCATAGCTCCGAATCTTTGATCTCAGTCTCTGAGTCTTAAAGTAATAAATCACTTTGTTCTTCCACAATCGTCATCAGAAGTAAAGATACTTTAGGCTTCTCCATGGATACAACAACATATGCTTGCTTAAGCATCGTCTTCTTGGCACTTCGACATTCGTGAGCGAAATGACCATATTTCTTAGAGTTATAACACTATATTTGAGATTTATCAAAGTTCTTTTTACCTTCATCAGGAGGGGGATGTCGACCTCGACCACAGCCTCTTCCTCTACCTTTGTCGCAGCCGCGATTCGACCTCTTTTGCGAGATAAGGACTCCTCACTTGTGATTTTCCCTTTGCTCAGTGCTCTGGCGAGTAATGCCTACTCTTCCTCTTGGGACTCTCGCTCCTTAAGCCGCAACTCATGGACAGCCAGAGAGCCAATGACTTCGTCGAGGCTGATTTTGTCCAAATCAGCATATTGCTCCACAGATAAGGTAAGAGCGTCAAATTTCGAAGGCGTTGCTCGCAGAAATTGCTGCATTACTTTTCTTTCTTCCATCGTCTCTCCCAAATTACGCAAATCCGAGATGATGTGAGTGAATTTCATCACAAAATCTACAACTACTTCCTCCCTATGCATTGTGAGAATTTCATACTCACACTTTAGGCCTTGGATTCGTGATTGAATCACTCTGTCCATGCCAAGATTTCGCGACCGAAGAATTTCTTCTTTGCATCAAGCATAGTCATCATTTCTTCCAGAATTGCGCTAAAGATTGCCAACAATGCCAACCGATCTTTCTTCTTGGGTACATTCTCTTTGACTATCGCTTGCCATAGATCGTGAGAGTCAAGATATATCTCCATATCCATCGCCCAGATGCGGTAGTTCGCCTTTGAGAGCTTAAGAGACGGTGCCAACGACACCATCTCTCCCCCACACTCGCCAGAGGTATTTGTCTCGCCTCTTTTCTTCGCCATCTTCTTGATCTCGTCGAACCGAGTGACTCTGATATCACTTGTTGGCTTTGAGAGCCCGAAGTGACACCAAAAATAGAAGAAAAAGACAAAAAAGTAACATGAACGAAGAAATGTATAGAATGATTATATTCCGCCACGCTGATTCGTTGAACACATAACCCTTTATATAGGGCAGCCAATCACTAGAAGTGAGAGTGTGCATCTAACTAACTTGCAGTGATGAGCAGCAGCGATTGATCTTGCAAAACAAACATAACGAACATAACAAAAAGAAAAAAACTACCCAAATTTTCTGTTTCAGGAAACATCACCGTTGTCTGCAATTGACGACGGAGCAGAAGCAGCTCCCCATCACAAGATGCAGGCATTATCACTGGCCTCAACGTAATGTAGATCATCAACGAACCCACCGCTGCCACCATCGAATACGGTCTGGATAAGACGGCCACTAGCGTCGGGCAGAAGAATGTCCTCATATTTGACCTCGGTGGTGGCACAACTGATGTCTCTCTCCTCACCATCGAAGAGGGCATCTTCGAGGTCAGGGCAACCGCCGACAACAGCCACCTGGGCTGGAAAGATTTTCACAATTGGATGGTCAACCATTTTGTCCATGAGTTCAAGAGGAAAAACAATAAGGACATGAGGGGCAATCTAAGGGCACTCATAAGGCTGAGGACAACATGAGAGAGAGTGAAGAGGACCCTCTCCTCCACCTCCCAGACCGCCTTCGAGATCGACTCCTTGTATGAGAGCATTGACTTCTTCTCCACCATCACCCGGGCCAAGTTAGAGGAGCTGGGTATATATCCCGTGGAGAAAAGTGCCTGAGGGACACCAAGATGGGTAAGCGCACAGTCAATGGCATGCTCCATATGGGGACTCCACTGGGTTCCCCAAGGTCCAGCAACTCCTCCAAGAGTTCTTCAACGGAAGGAGCTCTGCAAGAGCATCAACCCCAACGAAAAGGTGCAGGATTTGGTGCTGCTCGATGTCACCCCTTTGTCCCTGGGGCTGGAGACCACCCTAGGGTTGATAACAGTGCTGATCCCCTGGAACACCACCATCCACACGAAGGAGCAGGTCTTCTCCACCTACCATAGCTAGGTTTACGAAGGGGAGAGAACGAGGACGAGGAATAAAAAACTCCTGGGCAAGTTCTAACTCTCCGGCATCCCCCCGATGCCAAGGGGTCTGGTGCAGATCACCGTCTACTTTGACATTGACAAGGGCCGTCTGAGCAGGGAGAAGATCGACTGGATGGTCCAGGAGGGGAGAAGTACAAGTCCGTGGACGTGGAGAAGAAGAAGGTGGAGGCCTTTTTGTTCGCCTCCCGAAAATCCTCTTCAAGATTTCCAGACGTGACGAACAAACTCAAAAACTACGGCTATAACAGGAAGAAGGCCATCAAGGACGAGAATATTGCTTCTGAGCTCTATCTTCTTTGTAATAGTTCTTCCTAGGAGATATATTTCGTGCATCAAGGCTTTCGAACTTTTCGGTTGCTTGAAGTTATCGGAGATCCCCCAGCCTTAATTGGAGATCCCCCCAGTGGCAGTGTAATCTCTTAAATAACTAATAATTTGTTGGAAACATAAATATAATACTTAATCACAGCTCGAATTGACCGGTATACCTTTGATCATGCAAGCTTAAGAATAGAAAAAAGACTACTCGTTGACTAAGAACAATTGAGACAATAATTTTCACAAAGAAACAATTATAGATTGCATTTTATCAGTAATCATAAATAACATGACTATGGGCCCCCTAAATTATCGGAGATAAATGCTCTTTCCCGGGAGCTTACTCTCTTCCTAGAGTATTAAAATTGAAACCAACTGTACGTTCTTCGACTGAGTTACCCATATATGTACCAGTGCTCAATGTGTCTCCGAGAATCTCCTGTAAGAAGCAAATCAGACGGCGGAGAATGCCTTTGGTTAGTGTGATATCACTAGTTCACGTTCGGTGAGGCCCGCATAATGACGGCTTCAGGATAGTGCGACATTCGGTCCGTGGTGCAAACAACTGATGACGGATCTGGCAAAGATTTGAGAATCTAGCAGACCGCCTCCAATGAAGTGTACACCTATCAAGTGTTTTTTAAGAAATGTTTGGACATCGTCACTCCTATTCTTGAGAATTTAAAGATGACGGTGGCTGACGCTAAAAAAATTTTAATCCTATTTATAAGTTTTCGGGGGATCATCACTCGATAATCTTGGGAATTTTATGAGATTAACAGTGGGTTACAGTTTTTAATTAGTATTTAAATTATAGATTCACCATTCAATGTTCTTGGAACTGGCTCACAGTAATAATCTTTAATTATATTCATAAATATCTGGGGGACGATTTTTTGATATTCTTCGGAATATAAAGAGACGGACAGCGGCTCACGGTAATAACTTTAAATTATTATTTACAAATATTTGGTGAGTATTTCTCAATATTATTTGGAATCTAAGGAGACTGACATTTCTTCAGACTATCTATTTTTTAATTTTATGTATAAATCTTCGGAATCATTACTCAATATTTTGGGAGTTTAAACTGATGGTTGTCGTCTCTTTATAAATTTTCAGACCATCACTCGAAATGGAAACATCTGAATGCAAAACACATGGGTCTGACGTGACGGCTACTCATAATAACTCATATGATGTGGGTTGCCTACTGAGGCAAAATGACAAGTCTCTTCGTTGTGACATATTTGGGGTAAATATGTGTGTTAAAAGGAGTGAGGGTTAGTATTTGGGGTAGATAAAAGATGTTCTAAGTTGGTTGGACAATAGTTATGTACGAAAGAGATAAGTGCGTGAACTTATCGAATTTATGTGACAATTTGATATAAGAACTAGGTTAAGGATGACAAGCGAATGTAAACATGGAGCATATCACTTGAAAGGAAGAACTATTGGCCACCTCTACAAAAAAAGTAATAATTTCTCTAAGGCATTGAAGAACCATTAAAGGAAGGTAGTATATTATCAATGAAGTAGTTGTCTATACTAACTTGAGAGTAGATAAAATATGTACTGTTGTACATATTGTATTGCTAGATTATAAGTGGACAAATGCACCATGGCACAAAAAAGAGTCAAAAGGTCTCATAACCTAAGATAGTTGTAGAAGTATGCAATGAATAGTAACTTAAGAATTTTCTCTAAAACTTTAACCATTACTTTTAAGCACTACACAATTTTGAAGTACTAAGAGATCATGAAAAATCATGCACCTTATTAAGTTTAAGATGGAGAGTCTCAAAAGATGTAGTATCCACCGCTGTTGTCCAAGATGACTGTAAAATATATTTACAATTCATCTTAGAGATAGTCTTAGGTATGTTGCACATGCAAGAGATCATGTGTAAAAAGCATAAAACTCCCTCTAAAATTTTGTGAAGATATACACTAGTTGGTGTTGCAATGTTATAAGAAGAAATCAAATATCTAACAAGTAGTTTTTTATAAATAAAATGGCAATTGATTTCAATATGGTTGGTGTGTTCATTAAAAGTAAGATTATATGCAATATGAACCATGACTTGGTTAGTGCAAAACAAGTGTTGAGAGTCGTAATGTGATGTAAAATATTATAATAATTATTGTAACCAAAATAATTTTTACAGTAATAATAACTAACATTTGGTATTCAAGCTCAATATAAGATTTGGTTATGGTAGATTATTTCTAGACTTTCCAGAAAACTAATGAGTATCTAATAAAGATATGATACCAAGTGATGGATTTGATAAAATCTAAATGTGGCCAATCAACATCATAAAACTCTAAAGTTACAAGGAGTATGTATTGGAAAATAATATCTCATGGCTAAGATCTCATTAAGATAACAATGTTGGTGACACAATGCTATCAAATGAGTACATTTAAGCTGAGCCATGACTTAACTTAGCTAATATATATATTGTCATGATACTATTAACTGTGAGATTATGTCAATCAATCTCTAATATTGTGAAGTATCATGAAGTAATTATCCATTGGTCACATCAAAGCACAAATGATGATCCATTGGGGTATGACTAGGTTTGGCACCAAGGTGTCATGTGTCTTCAAGTAATTGAAGAGTGAATGACATTGATATAAAATAATACCTATTATAGATCGGATAACTTTTAGGCCTAAAAATATTTCAACTCTTCAAGATCTTTAAGCTTAAAGTTATAATATAAAAAGATTTATGTTGTATTGATATCTACCAGGGAAGTCCAACTAGTATAATGTGATCAACATAGGCAAGTAAAGACAACTGAAAAAACAATACCTTTGGTAAATAATAAGTTATCAGATTTGATTAAATGAACTTAAATTGAGTAAGAGAAGTAAACAGTTGAGAGTACTATTATATAGATGTGTGCCATAGTTTGTTAATTGACTAATGTAATTTACATACAATGTTGCCTTAAATGAATATGACTCTCCTTCTTTCTATTATAGCCTAAAGTTAAGTTCAAATAGACTTCTTCTCACAAGTCCTCATTAAATAAAATATTATTGGCATCTAATTCTATAAGATAACATTTATGTTATTTGTTAAGTTTTAGGATAAACTTTTAACAGTGATCAATTTAGCCATTTGAGAAAAAAAAATATAGAAAATAAATTTCTTCTTGTTGGGTATATTTTTTGGCAATAAGATGAACAATATATCATTCTACATAACCATCAAAATAATATTTGATTTTTTTAAATCCAATGATTATCAATTGTATATTTTCTTGTCGACAAAGAAACATGTGATTGAGTATTGGTGAATTTTATAACATCTATTTCAATCTTCATCACCTCACATCAATAAACATATGCAACTACTTGATGATAAAATTGAAATTCATAATTAGATCAAACAACCATAATAAACTGCTTATGTGAGGTTGAGAGAGAGTTGTGAAAGAGGAAATCCAACATAAGATATGAATTTTT